ATACAGACCGGAGAGCCATAGAAGAAGAAGAAGAAGAAGAAAAAGATAAAATCTTACACAATGGATCCAACCTATCATTTTCAGTTTTCTTCCAGTCACCAATATAAGGAACACTGGCAATGAAATGTTATAGACCCCCAAAGGTATAACAATTCAAACATAAGTATAATGAATTAAAATAAATTTATGGTGTAATTGGATATGAAAGCTATAAATATGTCTATTCCTGTTATATTCCAATATCAAATGTCACAAAATTTTAAAATATTAATTTACATTGGGTTGGCATTTAAAATCTTATATGACAGTGGGAAGCAATACAATGAATCAGTTTATACTTCTCCGTCATTAACAACTGTCAAGAAAACATATGTGGCACAGAAATTCATGGCAATCTGTTTCAGTTCTGTGCATGTGGCTTTGCTTTATTTTTACATTTTTGCAAGACACTGGTCAAAACAGACTTCATGGTTGACAGATGCATCCTGCAGATGTTAGTATGCAAGATGTGGAACAAATCAAATTAAAACACGTGACATTCAAACAATACCTATAAATATAATACAGTTACAAAGAGATATCCCAAGAACAAATTACACTACAACTGACTTAATCACACTCATAACTACATTAATAATAATCCCTCAGCAATTACCTAGTAGCTATGTTTAAAAGTGGCTAATATTACACTACAAATAAAATATATTTATTAATAAATTAATATACCAAATAAATAACTATATACATGTCCATATATGGATGGCTCAGAAGCTAATTAGAATAATTAAAATTATTACAGAAGACAAATGCATTTATTACAAAACTAGGTTTCTATTTTAAGTTTACACATTATACAAATATATCTTCATGTCTTATATGTCACATCATGTTACAAATATGACATGACCATAAAATACAATGTCACAGGCCTAATTTATAAGAACAAAATATTTCCTATTATTTGCTTTACTTAACATCGCTTTATCAACTACACTGGCTGTGTAGTTTCGAACAGTAGGATGTGGCCTGATTCTAGGTAATATTCTAGCATTTGTCTGGACGACATGGGAAAACCACGCTAACCCTCTATCAGGATAGCTGGTCTTCAGGCTATGAATAAAACTAAGAAAATGTAAACTGTAAGTCTAAGTATCATGTAATGATACAATTAAATAAAGACCAGAAATGATTACTGGTAAGGATGATATTTACTTACTTCTTTAACAATGCTTTTTCAGTAGATCAAATTATATATAATGAAATCAGAGGATACTAGTGAATAGTGAACAGGAAAAAATGTGGAAGGAAGCGTTAGTGGTCTTATTTAAGGTACTATCCCAGCATTTGCCCCCACAGACTGTGAAAAAAAAAACCCTCAGTTTGGACAGCAGGTCTCCGGGCCGAAATTTGAACCCGGAACCTCATAATACGAAGCAGGAGTGTTTACCAATCGATCAGTCGATCATATTCGATTATTGAATAGATGTCCCACACGTTGCTACTGCTTCTCGAAACGACTAATTAATTATGAATTAATTGTTATAAATTTTATTATACAGATGCCAACTAGTAAAACTGAAATCAGACTCATCAAAATCCTTTCATGTGGCTTTAATTTAAACAATGTTACGAAATACGGTGCATAGTATATCCACTTCCAAATTCGGAACCAGAAAATAAATCCTGTTTTAAAGTATTTCCTCTGTTCCTGTGTAAAAAATAAAAGTTCCTATGTATATTCATACGCAAATAAATTAAAACACTGGTCATTCTAGTATTCGATTTTATGTTTGAAAAATTCTAGAGGTACTAAGAATCTACAGTACAACTTTCTGGAGTTAGAAATTTCTGCCGTGATTTTTTATCCGTTATTACGTAATGATGGTTCATGCACTAGGTATGATATAATTTAGTGACAACCCTACCACCCCCTCGCCAAAATTTGAACAATTTTGTGTCCTCATTTTTTAAAAAAAACCCTTTGGAATGTGTTACCCACAATTTGAGGAAGTAAAAATTTACGTTACACTATGTTAATGTTCACATAAATCATATGCAAATGTTCATATTCCTCACTATATCTACATGATCTAATTATAATGGAAACTATGTTTAATGTGTATTCCACAACTCAAAATTTTAAAAATGCAAGTCACGTTAGCCAATATCTTATTAAACCTACCTTCACCGCTTCATGCAGATAATATGTAAAAAATCCTGTTCCGACGATTGCACCTACATACCATCTTGGAAAATCAAATAAAATATCTAATGACGAAAGAAGCCAATCCATTTTACAGACCGAAATTAACCTGCCGCCTCTTCTCACTTTCCTGCAGCACTGCAGCGCATTCCTGTCCTCGCTGAGAAATAAGCGATACCTGAAGGATCGTGTCTTGTACGCACTGCGGCGGACGGGAATTGTCAATAAATGAACTTAAATTGTGAACAACTAGATTTACTTTGAACAAATAACTATTGTAAAAATAAATTAATAAATGAATAATAATTTTTTACTGTCAACGTGTATGATATGACGTCCTTGAATAAAAGCTGAGCAAAAACGCGGGTGCGTGTGACCTAGATTGCTCGATGCCAGTTCATTGCTTATTATGCTCAAACTATAATTGTACGTGAATAAGTGTTTTCTAAATCATTTAGTGACGTAATCGTAAATTCGCATACAAATGATTTTATAGTTTTATTATATATAGATAAATATGTTTTTATATTACAAGGTACTGTCCTTGAACATTATGTAACCTTCTGTCCGTTGCTCTCGTCATACCTCATTACATAACATACCTAATGAATAAGCCGCTCCGATGCTTGACCACCCAGCTGGTGTACAAGGGCTATCTGGCACAGATAATACTTGTGCCCTCTATCGATAGTGTGTGCAAACAAACTAAGCGTTAGCGTCATCAATCGTTGCTCAGTCAGTATTCGTTTGGAATTCGTCTGAATATCTTGTTATTTTTAAGGTGGTGTGACTTTATGTACATCATTGAAACATGCCATCTCCTGCACAACCATTACCTAAACTAATTGATGAACCTTTAGGAATAAATGCTGTGCTTCTAGGACCTCCAGGTTCAGGCAAAGGAACGCAGGTAATTAATTTTATGGTTAAAGAGTGGGATCTGCAATATATTATGTTTTTTAGGGAACACTGCGTAAAAATTTTGTGTATGATACGTATCAACAGGAGTTATGTTGAGTGCTGGTCTGCAATGATCGTTTCAAGCAGTATGAGTTATAAATAAGTTATGTGTATATCTTCTAGCAACGTAAGATATGTTTTGTGCTGATCTGTAATAAACTTTTCTTTTCAGGCTCCACTGCTTAAAAATAAATTCTGTGTATGTCACCTATCAACAGGAGATATGTTGCGTGCTGAGATATCTTCGGGCTCTCCTCTGGGTCGAAAGATTAAAAAAGAAATGGATGCAGGTACTCTGAATAAGTAGAGTAATTTTATGTAAATCATTACCTGAAGTAAGAACATACATATGTAGGTCAGCTGCTGAACATACTTTATAATATTCACTGCAACAAAATTTTCGTGGTGAATCTCAATGGGCAATCAGTAAATTACCTGGCATTTAGCCCTCATTAATATTGGGATATTACACCATAATTTCAGACTTAATTCTGCAGTTGATTTGCGTACATGGCCCATGTATGGTGGGATGCCTCGCACCACCGCATGGAATGGCCTCTAGGTGTGGAGGTTAGCTGCAAATATATTGAATAAGCAGTCGAGGGGAGGTACTCTTCCATTCGGTTCTCTGTTAGGTCCATTCTGTCCGAGGCTTTGATTGAGGTTTCGAAACATCTTTTTTACGGTGCAAGGTTGTTAGCCTTGCGACCAACCCCCAACTTGGAGGACCAGGGTACCTGTCTTAGTTTGACCTCTCCCCCTCGACCAATCTGGCTAGGGAGGCCCTACCAGTAGCTCTTGGGATCTCTGAGGTACTCAAGCTCCACCACCACGACAAGGTGCAGGTACCATTAAGTGGGGAGTTTTTGATGTAAATACATCTGTAAGGAAGGGTCATTCGGCAAAAAAGTGGAACGAAAAAGTGTAACAATGGTTACCTAGGGAATGTCATCTGTTTACTCGGAATTATTGTTACCTACAAAACGTCGTCTATTTACTCGGCATTTTTGTTACCTAGGAAACATCATCTGTTTAATTCGGCATTGTTGTTACCTATAAAACATTTCATTACATTACCTTACCTTACATTACATTCCGAGAAAAGGATGGAAGGATCCTGTTCATATGGACCTGTCGTCAGACAGAACACTAAATAATAATAATAATAACATTACATTACCTTACCTTACATTACATTCAGCTACCACAGACCCATCTTAAGCGTAACTAATTGAAGTTGAATAAGCAATGTATAATATATAAACTTCCTTTCCGTATAGACGTATTTACGTCAAATTCTCCGGAACCGTGGTTCCACTGACAACTTTTTATTTACGTATACAAATTTATTATCAATAACTCAACTCATGATCTTATTATATGGAACACTTATTTTTAGTAGGTTGGTGACAAGACTTACAGGAAGAGGTTAAGCAGTGCTGTTGTGCAGTGTATCTTTTTTTGTATTTATACAGGACACCTAGTAAATGATGATTTGGTTGTGAGTCTGGTGGAATCAAACTTGGATCGACCAGAATGCAAAAATGGATTCCTTCTAGATGGATTTCCTAGAACTTTACCACAAGCTGAAAAGGTTTGGCATCAGAATAATTATTTCTTGTGTGGACAGATCACATAGACTGTATATGTACTTGCATTTACATTAAAAGAATTGAAGTTTATGCAGGATACACATTTGAAATGATTGGGGACTGTCATTTGATTAATTTTACACACACATAGACATACATAGGGTGTATTCCATGTCATAATGTAATAGTAAACTCATTGGAATATACATACTTTCAGGTACCAAATTGAAATCCGTTCATTAGTTTTGAGGGTAAAACATGCAGACCGAAAGATTCGCAGACACATCCTTTTGATATGTTGCTTTTAAGTAAAGTTTGTCCCGCTACATGCCATACAGGCGCTCGGGGTGAGTGGAGGTATAGTTCCTCTCTTTCTTGACCTCGGCACTACATGGGGGTGAGCGGTCAGCATCACGCCCGGCCGGCTTTCCCTCCGGTACCCATTGGAGAGGAGGCTGGGTGGGCCCCAGAGCCGGTCTGGAAGCAGAGGCTAGAGGAAAAATCCTCTGCCCCCATCAGGGATCGAACCCCGGTTGTCCAGCCCTTAGCTAGTCACTATACTGACTGAGCTATCCCGGCTCATGTTACTTTTAAGAACTTTATGCAAAGACCACATAAGAAGGATGTGTTACTAATATTGTACTTGCATTTCACAGCTAGACAAGCTTCTTGAAAAGAGGAAACAAAATCTTGATGCTGTGATTGAGTTCAAAATTGATGACAGCCTTCTTTTACGCCGCATTACAGGAAGATTAATTCATCAGGCCAGTGGACGCTCATACCACGAGGAATTCCACCCACCACGGACACCCATGAAGGATGATGTAAGAATACCAATTTGTATTTAGGTATTGTAGTTGGAGTGAATTTTAATGTGCGTGTTCATGCTTATCACATTAAACATTTATTTTTTAACAATCTGTGCATTGTGGCTGAGTAGTTAGCAGTCCTGCTTTGTATTTGGGAGGTTTCAGGTTCAAACCTTTGTTTAGAAACCCTAGTATCCTGACTGAGGTATTTTGTAGCTTTCCTGTCTGTCCAGATAAATTAGAGACACCAGTGGAGTTCAAACAGGCCATTGGATGTAATTGTGAAGTTGCTGATTAATGACTTAATGTTTTTGTGTTTTTACTTCAAGTTCATTCTGCAATTTGTATGGTTTGTTCTCCCTTTTCTTCTTGTACTTTTTAATATTATTATTTTGGTTTTCCTAATAACTGCTTTTCCATGATTGGTGGGTCCCTGTCACTGGACATGGCACGTCCTCAGGTTGCGGATGGAGGAACAGCCTCCATTTATGGAGGTTAGCTGCGAATATATTGAATAAGCAGTTGTGGACAGCTGATGAGGGGTGGTCCTCCAGCTTGGGGGTTGGGCATGATGCTAACAACCTTTCACCATAAAAAACTGTCTTGTTATGAAAAATTTTACCAAAGCCTTGGACCAGGATGTACTCTTTGGCATGACCATTGGAAAAGGATATGAGATTTGGAATATGGAATGTTAGGAGTCTCTATAGGGCTGGGGCACTGAAATCAGTGAGTAGGGAAGTAGAGAATTATAAGTAAGACTTAGTGGCAGTGCAGGAAGTGCGATGGGAGGTGGAGCACACAATCTCAGTGGAAAATTTCACGTTTTTCTATGGAAAGGGGAATGATAATCATCGTTTAGAGACAGGTTTTTTGTTCATAGCAGAATTAGGGCAGCAGTTAGGAGAGTAGAATTTGTTAGTGATGGGTTATCTTACATAATTCTGGAAGGATGTTTGTGCGACATTATTACCCCTAATGTTCATGCTCTAACTGAGAATAGAAGTGATGATATCAAGGATAGCTTTTATGAAGAATTAGAATCAGTATTTGATACATTTGGCAAGTATCACATGAAAATTCTGTTGGGAGATTTCAGTACAAAAATTGCAAGGGAGGATATCATCAAACCCACAATAGGCAGCGAGAGTCTGCATGCACTTAGTAATGATAACGGTGTTAGAGCAATAAACTTCGCTACGTCAAAAGATTTAATTGTAAAAAGTACAAGATTTCCACATCATGATATTCATATATACACTTGGACTTCTCCAGATGGCAGCACGTACAATCAAGTAGATCATGTTTTAGTAGATAAGAGAAGGCAGACAAATGTAATTGATGTGAGGTCATTCAGAGGAGCAGATGTGAATTGCTAAAACTTTGTGATAGCTCTGTGGTCCTGAAGACATACATTGCCCATAACCCTTATTATCGAGGCGGGAAAGCAACAAAATTTTGACTTCAGAAATTTTAGAAAGGAAAGCAGGACTAACTCAGTAAGGATGTTATTCTGGATTCATGTTCGTATGAACTTTGCTAGTTGTTTTAGTGTGTGGAACTCACCCCTATGTTTTTGTCAGACAGTTTCTTATTAATCAATGTTATTTGTTCCTTGTAGTTTACTGGTGAGCCACTGGTTCGGCGTGCTGATGACAATGCTGATGCTTTAAAGAAACGTCTTGAAACATATCACAAGCAGACCAAACCTTTGATAGACTACTACAGTTTTAGAGGTAAATTGTATAGGATCTACCACTAGTCATATTTCATTTGTGCACTTCTCAATTCCACATAATTTACTTTTTGCACAAATGCATTGGGTGAATGGCTATAGAGTAGATGTTGTAACAAGCCGTACCATGGTATTTGAAGACCAAGTATTCTGTATTTATTTGTGTTAAAATCCACTTATTTCCCCTCTATTTATAACTTTTTTTAAAACTAAAAGTAGGGAAACAATATACACCATATTTTTCTAACAGCTCTCAGTACTGTATAACGAACACTATCACAATTTTTCACACTTCTGAGAAATTTATTTCTGTATTGTATGCACACTTTCTCTCCTTTTATACGTTTTCTGCAGCCACTGTTCCTTTTTGTTACAATATTTATTTGAATATAAGTCATACATTTTTCCCCCAAATTTACATTTCATAAAACTTACAATCAGGATATTTTTAATGGAAGAACAATTGATGGATGGATGAATTAAACTCCTTCACCAGGAATCAAACCCAGGACAGTTTTTCAGGGTGTGGCCTTTATTTCTGTAATCTCATCTTTAAAAAAAATCTTAGTCTTAATATAATTCTTCTATCATGCTTAGTTTTCAGTCTACAGAAAAATCTTCACTGGGATTCAAACCTAGGAGGACAGTTTTTGCGGTTCTAGTCTTTGTTTCTGTAATCCACTGTTTGAAACAAACAACTTTGGTCTTAGCACCATTCTTCTGTTGCACCTAGCTTCCAAGCTACAGGAACTGCCCTCTCCAAGAATCAAACTCTGGATATTTTTCCAGAGTTTTGACTCTCATATTTTATCTTTCTGGTCTCAAGAAATAAATATCCCAAGTTTGCTGCAAATCAATTTATCCCTTCTCAAGTTTCAAAAAACATACATACCCACGATTTGTTTCACTTTGTGTATAAGATATTATTTATGGCACTCATTGCTGTGTTTGTCATGTGACTGGTTTCTAAGCACTGTTACCATTATTTTATCTTCATATTAAAAATATATTACAGTCTGTGAGAACCATTATTGGTGAATGTGAATACTTTACAGATATCTTATTTGTAAGATATATAGTGAAAAACTTAGTTCCGCGCCGTAGCCATGTGGTCTGAGGCATCATGCTTTGGACTGGCGATACAGAATGCGCTCTGGTTCGATTCTCGGGGGAGAAGAAATTTTCACATGAGCTTTTGACCAGTGTATGGGACCGGTGCAAAGCCAGCGTCGTGAGGAAATTGGGGAGCTGCAATGAGTAGCGTAAACCGGTCAGGAAAACTAGCAATGGCTGGGGCATTCGTCATGCTGACCACACGTTGCCCTATATCTGGTTGGATGATCGTTCACCTCTGCTTAGGCATGTGAACGTGAGGCTAGCAGTCAAGCTAGTCGGCTTTGGCTCTCTGGAGCTGTTACACCACAGATTTAATTTAATAGTGAAAAACTTACGAGACATCCTTTTAACTATATTGCTAGCGTTTTTTGTTTTTCCCCCCCTAGCATTCCCTAAATATCATTGTATTTTTAATTTTCTGCTTTGTTTAATCTTTATAAGTCTTCTTTTTAAAGGATACCTTCATATTCATAAGGCTTTATTTTGTTAATGCTGTGTGTATAATGACTTATGGGGTATACTTTTCATTTCATTACAGGTATTCATCATCGTATTGATGCTGCTGAATCAGCAGCACATGTCTTCAGTCGTATTGACAAAATATTCCTTGAAAACTGTGGTCAAAAGAACAAAGACAGAGTTTTATTTGTTTAAGAAGAATGAAGTTTGTTAGGTGGAATATGTAGAAACAGTTGCCCGTCTTATTAATTCAAAAAAATATTTCTGTTGACAGATTGGACCAAGTGCTGAGATGCTGTCCTTATTTCTTAGCTAGTATTTGTATGGTATAATAATATATGCACCCATAATACCATTTCCTTTAAAAAATTATTGTTCTTAATCTGATGTAATTTAAGTCAAATGTGAATCAACATGGCCGCTTCCCTATGGTTTGAGCAAGTTAGAATAAAGCAAACATACAACAGTTAATTATTAATATAATTTTTACTGAAAAAATTGGATAATAAAATATATTTTACCATTATAAAATGTACCACATACTACAAGGAACTAGTAGCATCAGGTGAGTTGTTGTAGTAGACAGTATTGGGTGCATATAAAGGAAATGTTAAGGATGCAGAGTTGTATCACTGATCTCTGCTGTTCCTCAACTTATAATACCTGTTAAGTGGGAAGGAAGAATAAATTTTCAAGGCAGGAATAAACATTGGATACAAGTAGAATATACAGTTGATATTTGGATGATTCAGAAGTCAAACTTGTTACAAAGAAACAAAAGTCTTATTGCTTTAATTGAACTCAGTGGTGCAAATGAAAAGTGTTTATGAAAAATGTTCTGCAGAACTTATCTATTAATTTCCAAAATAATTTTAGTAATATAAAAGGCATTTTACATTCAAAGAAACTGAAAACATCATTGTTCCCGTAATTGGCGTTGGCATTTTATTCATATTGTAGATTCCTGACACGATTTTTTAAGTAGAAAATTGTACAGGAAGCCATCATGTTAGAACTTTCTGACTTTGTAGTGTTTGTACATGGGATTGAAGTTATTATTTGCCTTAATATTTCACTAATTTGGTTATATAAATGCCATTTCATATGCACACTCAAAAATTAGTTCCAGTGGTGAAGTATGATTGGTGGGGATTTGCACTGCTGAGATACAAGTCTGCAAATGGTAATTTTTCTTCGATTTTCATTGCTTTGTGATGCCCTTAAATGTTTAAGGGCAGTTTGCTGTGAGCCAAAGAAGATGCTGTCAAAAATTTTCTGGAAACATTTGAAGACAGGTTCCCAAGGAACCAATGCCATCAACCTCTACGTCCACTAAAATTTTATCTCGTCATCCTATAACGAAACTTGTTTCTACTGAAACACCACATCTAATGAGGAAGGAACTGCCAGGATTAAAGGGAACAATGAAAGAAATTTGTTACCCAGTTTTGTTATTATTCTGCTATATTTCAATACGTGTATTAGAACAGTATTGTTATTATTATTAAAAATGTTCATTATATTACCTTAATTATAAGTTACTGGTAAATGGGCAATTGTGGTCTGGCTTGGGATCCTAAGCGCCATTTATAATGTTGTGTCTGTGGGCAGAAGTTCAGAACAAAGGCGTATTTTGGAATGCATTCTGTTCATAATTTGTCGTCTTCCTGAATGTAAATTTATGATGTAAAAATTTAATGTAAATTACCATTTGGTACAAAAGAAACAAGAATATTTATCTTGAATCTCATTTGCACTTGGTTCTGTGCTGTGCTCATATTTACTGTTGCATTTTACATAATATTGTTTACTTGCCATGATTTGCTTCGGTTTATGAGTGGGTTGAAAGTAGTAGTAAGCATTTTTGTTTAGGGTAGTTACAGAACGAGAAATGCCTAACTTCCAAGTTATATCCTGATTCTTGTTGTCTGTACTATTTTCTATTACTAGGAACAGCACAATATAGTTCATATTGTTTTATAAAAGTTAAGGGAATGTTTTTTAGAGGGGGGTTGTGTATATGGCAGTGGGAGTATGATTAAAGGTGAATGTGTAGTTTTGTTATATTTCCACTGTGAAAGAGTATTTTCTGAATATTTTTTTTCTAGCTTTCAATATTGTCGCAGCATTGGTTTTAAAATCTTATAATTAAATATGGTACTCTGTTCATAATTTAACATATTTGTGAAGGTAAGCTTTTGAATGTTGAAATCACTTAAAGGGAAACTATGAATAATAAAGTTGTTTAATGAAAAATGTTAAAGTTTTTCTTGAATTTAAAATTATGAGATAAATGGAGCTCTTATAGAAAAATTGCATATATTGTTGCCCTAGTAACAAATGGACATGTTCTGTACATGGGTAACAGTAGGAATCATGAAAGAATGAAAATGTCAAATTCCTGTGTGAAGGGAAGTAAAGGACATCTAGAAGAATGTATGACAGGATTCATTGTAAGATACTGACTATTGTAGCTGAGTGGTTATCTCTCCTGCTTCATATTCAGGAGTTCCAATTTCAAAGACTGGCCATTTTGTCATATTTTATGGTTTTCTGTTCCTCATGGGATAGTACCTTATATTAGGCTATGACTACTTTCTTCCATATCCTTTCCAGTGCATTATTCATTAATTAGCCTATCATCTGACTATTGTCTGATTTACTGACAAAAAAAAGTTTTCCCAGTATATGGCATGTAGGTGCAACAGTGCCGAGTAAACACGACGTTTCCTAGGTAACCAGGTTACACTTTTTCGTTCCCCTTTTTTGCCGAACGACCCTTCCTTATAGACGTATTTACGTCAAAAACAAAATGTATTTTAGAAATAGCTGCTGCACTGTACCTCAAGGACAAATTTTGTCACAGGTACATAGAAGTAAATACCACGACGAAATATAGGACGGGATTTTCATGGTAATGTGTGACTATCGATTGAGTTACCGTGGCCGATTGGAGTGTTAGTCTTCATTAACAATGAGATGTCAGGACAGTATTCAGTCGATCGGATTGCGGTTTAGTTAGCAAACAAAAATGATTTGAAATCGTTTAAAGTCGAAAGCGGTTTCTTTATAGTACGAAATTAACAGTAATGTTTATACTGTTTATTTGCTAGAAGCAGTTGAGTGTATATATATCTTTAGCTGAATAATAAAATGGTTGCAAAATGTTTATCTATTTAAGTAAAAAGGTATGTTAACTTCAACAGTTCATTTACATGTCATATACTTCACCCAACACTGCTAACTAAAGTAATAAAATTCAGGGACAATTTTTGTATTCCTTGTTACCCAAAAGAAAACTGACGAAATTTAAAATGATGATGTGCTAGGTTATGTAACGTAAATGTTTTATAAAACACAGAATTCTGAAGGAATCTATTCTATTTAAGTAATTTAATTTTTTTCCAAACGTAACAAAACTTCAAAATGACATAACAAAATCAGAAACATTTTGCTAAAAGAAATGAATTTTTATGCAATATTTGCAAAACAGTAACAAGTTGTGTTAGAACTATTTATTAGCATCAGAAAGCTGAATTCAATTCAGAGACAAGTCAGGGGAATATGATAATTTAGAGTAATATGTGTTTACTGTAAAGATTGTGAAGTATTATAGGTATGTGTGTGACTAAATACATGACTTCAGGCTCATTTTATGAACAACAGCAAATTAGCTATCAGAAAGAAATATTACTCTATATCAGAATATGGCTGTTAACTATCCTGATTAAAACCTTATCTCACATTTCATAATATAATATAATATGGTGACCTGTTGATATATGTCTGAATATTATGTTTATTTACAATTGCTGAACCAAACATAAATTCCTGTAACTTAACTGATACAGATGGTTACAGTACAGATATACAAGACTGAAAGAAAAATAGTCATATTCCACAGCAGATGATTTTGTTCTTATAAATCAGATTAGTTATAAAGAGCAAACTTAAGTAACAGTTTTACAATATGGTAACCATGTGTGTCACAGTAGTGTCTCTTGATACTTCAGTTCTTACAGCTTTCTCATATGCAGTGGAACTAATTCCAGATTGCTATTCCCAACAACACCAAACTTAATTGCCTGGCATGGAACCGAGAACAGGGATATCTTGCTTGTGGTGGAGAGGAAGGATTATTGAAAGTTTTGAAGCTTCAACCAGGTAATCAGAACTTTTGTTGCATGCATGTGAGAGTCATACGAGTATGAATGTTGCTTGTTACCTTTCCCCACCATCTTAAAAAGTAGGTTTATTTGAGTACGATGCTGTCTGTGTGTGTTTTCCGAACAACCTTTCAACAAATTGACCAGAAAGCTGATATATCCCATTCAATTCCAAACCGTCCTGATTGTCTTGGGCTTTCCTGATGGCATATTCTAAGGTGAAATTGAAAAACAGTATCTCCCTCTTTCAGGCCATTTTGAATAGGAAATGTATTGGACATATATTTAGCTACACACATTTTTCTAGAGGTTACACTTAAACACATTTTAATTTGCCTGCCTAGCTTCTTAGGTATACTAGATTCAATTAAATTTTTGTAAAGATTGTCTCTTTTAATTGAGTCATAGGTTTCTTGAAGCCGGTAAATTATTGCTGTACTGTCTGATTGTACTCCCATTTGTTCTCTACTATTTGGCAGATGTAGAAAATGTAGAAAATTCATTGGCCATAAAGCAATAACATTTTGCAGGAATTTTTTATCTCCATTAGGACTACAGTCTAACAAGAACTGTTCACTTCTGAGGGGGTTGGGTTGTGACCTATGTTGATTTGACATGGAATGTCTTTTCAGAAGATTGTCAGATTACTTTCTGAAGTCAAAAGTTGAATAATCAGCTTGGAATACAGATTTTTTCAAGATTTTGATCTTGGTATATTTTGTTGTTATCAGTCTCTTTCTGTTGTATTTGTTTTTTATGTTACAATAAGCCAAAAGAAGTGAAATCTGTCTGTTTGATGTGTAGATCAGCCAACAATTTAGAGATAATTGTACATTGTGCCCGCTAGATAGAGTTCTGCGGTAATTGTATAAAGATGTGATCCTTATTTAAAATTGCCTGTCATGATCTTTTGCAGAAGTTTGTACATTTTCTTGAAAATAGAGTTTTTCATAATATGTTGAACTTGAATTATTTTCAGTGCATTGAACACCTAATAGTCTTTGGAAGTGAATGCAAATTTCAAAGCACAGTCTTTGTCAAAAACGTAGGAGACTCCATATATTACGGGATTAGAGGAGGGTGTTAGGTAGAAGTAAGAAAATCCTTGATGGTAATGGAAATTTCTTTAATTCAGTTTAATTTGTTATGTTTCTAGTTTTTACATGTTTGGTATGTGTAATTCAACTTTTTTTTAAATTATCAGGGGCTGATAGTAAGGTGAAAGGGTTGGCAGCTCCATCAAATTTGTCAATGAATCAGACTTTGGAAGGTCACAGTGGACAAATTCAAGTTATTACTTGGAATGAAATTCACCAGAAGCTTACCACTAGTGACCAGTATGGCCTTATTATTGTGTGGATGCTATACAAGGTATGACTTCATAGTTTTAATTTTTACAAGTCATAATGCATCTGAATTTCCTAATTTCTTTTAAAGTTTTGGTTTGTGCTTTTCCTACTAGTGTGAATCCATTTTAAAGTAACTGGGAAATTGGCTGTTCTGAGGTGAATGTCATGAAATAGATCATGACTGTTTCTTCTTACAAATCCTTTTGCATATGTCGTGTATGTCATTCTATCTCAGTTGATATAGTATGATATATTGACAGCTGAAACAGCATAATTAAAGTTTCTGAGAATCAGTTATGAAAATGGCTGCAGTCTCTCCTTCCATATTCTCGCCTTCTCAACATTAATGACCATGTTTTTGTCTCTTTGGTGCTATATAATCTGTGTGGTTTAAACATCTGTTAATAATCTAAGAATTATTTGGTTATAAAATGCAAATATTGGTGATTTTGATGTAAAATTTAATTCTGAGACTGTCATATTGTGAAAGACTGAACACCCATTGATAAAGCAGAAGACCTGAACACACTTTTACTCATATGTTTCTGTTTGTCCCATATGTGGTGATAGTAATATGTAATATACGAATTATCTTTAAAAATTTAATCTCACAGAACCTCAGAAAAATTTTACAAGATTTGTTCTATCTGTGAGGGAATGTCATACAGTTTTAATGAGTAATATACCAGTAGATTTCACCACTGCTTAGTCTGGCTGTTGCCCAGTGACAGTGATTTCATGAATAAAATTATGTTCTCGAATAAAGCAACATTTCTTGTGTCTGTATACAAACAAACCTTAAAAATCAGGGGAGTAGAACAGCCTCATAGGAACACATTGGAAACAGTGCGGAAGTGAATGTTTGGTGTGTGTTGTTATACAGTCATGTGATCTGCCCCATTATATTTGCTGAACTGACAGTGACAGTCATGAATTGCCTACACATCATCTGCAGCCTTATTTGTTCTGACAAAATGGTGCACCAATACGTTAGAAATTGCATGTATGTGACTCCTTATACCACCAAATCCTGAATTGGTGGATTGGCCATTGTGGAATCATCTCTTTGCTGGTCAGGACACCAGATAATGTGTGACTTTTTTATGGGTTACATAACATACTGCATATACACAATTCTGGTGGCCAGCGTGAGTGATTTGAAGTCCAGAATTGTTGCTGTTATTGAAACTGTTGATGCAAACATTTTGCAACCCACATGGAAAGATGTGTAATATTGTTTTGATATTTATGTGGTGGTAAAAATCCACACATTTTGAACCTGAATAAGCTCTAGTATTTCACCATAGTGAGCTCTTCTTTTTGCTGGGCTTCTTATATTTCTTTGCGTGAACTGTAATTTGGTACTTAACGAGGAACAGATTTATTGAATTTTTACAGGGATCATGGTATGAGGAAATGATCAACAATCGCAACAAGTCAGTAGTGAAAGGAATGGCGTGGAATTCAGATGGGCAAAAGATTTGCATTGTATATGAAGATGGTGAGAATAAGTAACAATTTATTTGATACTTAATTTTTAAGTGATGGCCTGAGCCATAACATCTTAACATTTTATGTTTTACTCAAGGTCATATTTCTTCAGCTAGTGTTTTGTATCATTAATGCTGTACAAGTATATCAGATATATTTTTGGAATGAAATATTACATTTTAGGTATATAAATTACTGTTCCTTTATGCAGATATTGGGATAGTACTTTAGAGTAAGTGGTATGTGTTTCCTTTGATATCCTACCCAATTCATTATTCTCAGTCAGTCTTCCATTTGACACTAAGATATTCAGTTGAGAAAGTGTTTATAAAATAAAACAAGAACATGGTAAACAGCAGTCATTATAGCTAGAATGTTGCTCTATGATATTAGGCTCATATCTGATATTTGGTTACTTTCCTCTGTAGCTGACAAAAGAAATTTATTTGTTGTCATTATCTTTCTGTGTCTTAAAGTCTTTCTAAGTGTCTTATTTTTATGAATTGGTAGTCTGTAAGATTTCTGATTATTCTGTCAGAGCACATTTATTTAGAATGTTGGTTTGAATTCTTTTATATAATGTTATATAAAGTCTTTCATTTGTGAAATTTGTTGCTGTTATTATGTTAGTTGTTATTATTTCTTTAAGGATGTGATATGATTCCCATCTTTATACAACTTATTTTAGCTGATGTTAATGTGTAAAATACAAAATTTATTTAATTTTGCATGCAAAAATATTTTAGTCTAATATTTTCAGATCATATGCATAAAGAAGGAACATATTTTATGTCATGTCTTTCTCTTGCTCATGCTCACCCTTTTGTGAAAGCAAAAAATCTTTATTTTGGCCATAAACTCTCAGGGAAACATACACAATTATATGTGAAAAAGTATGTGAACATAAAAATGTGATTCTCGCCAGTCCTTTGTACAGTCCAGGCTTTGCTACGGTATGGCATTGTTGTTTATGTATATTTTTTTTTTATTGCAGTGTCATTTCACAAAATGTATTAGCTTCTTCTTTGCTGTAGGAGCTGTGATTGTTGGTTCAGTGGATGGAAATCGTATCTGGGGAAAGGAATTGAAAGGAAGTGCCTTGACTGGAGTGGAATGGTCCCCAGATGGTAAAATGCTGCTGTTCAGTCTCCGCAGTGGTGAAATTCATGCCTATGATAATCAGGGAAGCTTTACAGTGAGTGATGTAAAGAATTTTGTAACATTACAAACATATTGTAAAGAAGTGAGTTGTATGCAATTAAATGTCAGTACAGGCGAAGAATGAAATAACATTTTCTGTTTTCTGCGACTTGGGGGGGAATCACTTCAGCTGAAGGCCTCCATACTTGAGGAAGTTAGGCCATGACCCTTTTGAATTGCCTTACAACTGAGAAAAAGCATGGAAAAACCTCAGGCAGGGTAATCAAATGGTCAGACCACTTGTTGTGCCGACTTAACCGTCTTTTGAGGGACAGCCTTGGTTGG